GTCAGCGAGCAATGGACTTAACCTCATCTCCGCAGATGAAGCAACTACTGAATGTTCGACCTGTTCAAGATATTCCTATTCAGTCGGGACGTCAAGAAGGTCCTATTCTTAAGGTTGATATAAACACTGCTTTATTATTATTATTATATTACATACACAGATAAATCTACAAATAATATAACTTGTTGGCTATCAACCTTATTAATCATTCTATAGCAGTGATTTTTCAACTTTTTCTTCTGAAGTCAGCTTTTCTGTAATAAACAATATTAAAGACAAAAATTGATCATGGCTGAAATCCTTGGAACAGCTCAGATATTTCAATAAATTTTAAATTATAGGAAACAAAAATAAAATAAACATAAGTTTTCTTAAGAATTTTAATTAATTTTTTATTACAAATTATAATAAATTTTGCTTGTATTAATAATAAATAAGTATGCTCATTTTTTTTTATTCTTTTTTATCATCATAATTTGAGTGTGTTGCAGAAGTTTAATTATAGGTTCATGTATACTGTGACATAAAAAAAAGTTGAAAAACATCTTTAAATTATTGAAATATGATAGCTTATCAACTTAAATTATAAAAGATTAAGCTTATTTACATGTGCACAAAACCCACTAGGTTAACAATATTTGTAAACATAATTTATAAAAAGATCATTTATGTGTATAAAATAATAATATATGAAACTTTTTATGAATTTATTGCATTATCTAATTGATAATAGGGAAACAGGCTTGTATGCATTTAAAGAACAGCAAAGCTTTTTGTATATTTTTAATGCTTTCAAGTGATTAACTTGATTAAATGTAGTTTAACTTCCTAAAGTAAGTACTAGTACTATGATAGGACATAATAATTGATTGTTCTCTTTGAAATTTGTGTATTTTCTATATTTATAATTTTGTGTGTGTGTTATTGAAACATTTTTATTTCTTTTTGTTGTAGAAATCAAGATTTTTTGGCTTTAAACCAATGTGGATGGTCCTGGAAAAAGGTGTCCTTTCTTATTTTAACAATAGGTATGAGGTTGAGATTATTATTTATCTATATAACATTTGTATAAGTTGTAACTTTATACTGTTATAAGACAAAATATATATATATATATAACATTATTCCCTGAATCTAATGGCTGAGCAGGAAGTAACCAGGTGAGTGACATATTCACTTGATTAGTGTTCTGATACTTGTGCAACATGGTAAACTACCTAAACAATCACATTATTTTTGATAAAACTAAAAATATATAATGTGAAAAAGTTTCAAATATAATTAAAAATATATCTGTAAAAGGACAATATTCTTATGTTTGCCTGATTAAATTTTTCAGAGGATGAAACTCATCAACTTTTGTCTTTATTCATGTAATATATATATAATCATTTTACCCAAAGTAACATGATAATGCCACAAAGATGCAAGAAGGGGTTACTGTGAGTGAAAGAAAATGAAGAGATGTTATTGAGGAGAAAGAACAATAAAAGAACAGGATTTAGGAAGACAGAAGATATTAACTGAGGTTGCATTTTAAGAAATTGGAATAATTCCACAGGTGAGAAATGCAAGAAAATAAACTATTAGAATAGAACTTATGATTACATTTAGCTAGTTCAACAGTAAAATGTTGAGGTCTATTTGCCAATCTAGTAATACATTTAAATTCATGTGGTTGAGGTACCAAGGTGGAAAGGCCATTAGAACAATTGCCATGAAAATAATTATAGAAAAGACACTGGGAAGCCATGTCATTGTGGTGGGAAGATAACTGAAGTTGAGATACCAGATCAGGACAGATAACAATTTTGATCCAATTCTTTGAATTTTGTCAACAATCTTGGGATATATAGCAGGAGCACTAGACCAAATGTGGCAGCAATATTCAATGCACAGTGGAATGGTAGAATTATATCCATGCAATATGGATTCTCATAAGAACAATTGTTTGATGCAACACAGTGAACCAACTTTTCCAATAGAAGACCTAGAAATTGATTCAATATAATTGTTTCACTTATGTCAGTGGAAAATGTAAGACCAAAAAGACACAATGAATTGCTCTTCTGGAAGTTAGCATCAGCAATGCCAATGGAAGGCAAAAATGGTTCTCTGATGAAAACCTCAAAAGATGACTAAAAAACTAGTTTTGTTTTGAAGGCATTTAAAATTAAAAAAGACATTTCTTGCTCCAGTTAATAACTGATTGGTGCTGTCAGTTCTTATTGTTAAGACCGGAGTTGTCTTCAGCATAAATACCAAATTGGGACCAGATGACATTAGAAAAGTTGTTGATGAAAATAAGTAGGTCCAAGGATAGAGCCCTGGGGGAGCCCTGCATGAATGTAAAAGGATCTAGAAGAGTGGCTCTTCAACACAACTTTCATTACATGATTTGTTAAAGTTTGGATCAAATTAAAAATTTGGCTGGAGACAACATACCCTTCAGCTTGTGAAAAAGACCACCATACCAAATCCTGTCAATTGCCTTTAAGATATCTAAGGCCAAAGCTCGAGTTTCACTGTTTTTATTACAGGCTTGATGGACTCTTTCAGTAATAACAGTTAACACATCGTCAATTGACTTAGTGAAGCAGAAGCCATATTATTTGTGTGAAATAAGGTTGTGTGAAGTGTGATGCTTAACTACTTCAGAGTTGATTAGAACTTCTGTTAATTTGCCAAAAAATGGTAGAAGAAAATAGGATGATAATTTGAGGGATCAAAAGGTTCACTAGAGTTCTTAGACTGGAGCTACAGAAGAGGATTTCCAATTTGGAAAGCAAGAAGCAAGGAATTTGTAGAGTTTAGAGAACAGAAAACAGTTGCACATTTTCTTAGGACAATTGCAAGCATACTGTCAAGTTACTCCTGATAATTTGAGAGTGGCATTGAAAATAATTTCCTAGCAAAGTATTCTACTTTATCAGCAGTAAATGACAATACTTAAAACTGATTAAATAGAGGAGGGATTGAAGAGTTACCCTTGTTTAACACACTCTTACAGAGTTGCCAGAATCAAACTTGTGAGAAACTATATGGTGTCTCATTCTATTAGTGAATAGTAACTTAACCTCATTGAGGACATGCTTACAATTATTACAAGTGGATACAATTAAGTGACTGTTATGATCCAAACTATCACATTGGTATAGCTAGAAGTCATTCTTGCAGGTTACAGCAGCTGAACAGGCAGGAGTGAAGCAAGGAGGAGATTGTGGTTTCACCTGGTATTTTTGAAATGGCATGAAAGCATCAATGCCAGCTTTCACCCAAAAAGAAACCAGGGTGGGGGTCACAATTTTCAATAGGAGCACTAAAAATTTCACTCCACTCAAGAGGTGTTGTAAAGAAAATCATGAAATGAATCCCAATAATGTTTTCTAAATAGAGGGTTCTTTTACTCGTGTGAAAATTTTCTAATAACAAGACTTAGTAGAATATGTTGTCAATAATGGCACTATGGGAAAAACTAGTTTGTTACTTTTATATTGATGAAGAAATGCATTTTCCTAACATCTTAACTTTTCTTATTTAGCAGCACATTTAATATCTTTAATCATCTTTGCATGTAAGGATATTTAGTTCAGAGCAGATTGAACTATTTTTACAGTTCAAATTTTAAGTCTATGTTGATAATCTTCACTTATTCAGATTCTCTGAATTCTTGTTCCAAGATTAAAGAAGGTACTTAAACTATAATAATTTTCAAGAACTCCTACAAAAGATAATGAGAAGAAAGGACTAAACATTAATTGCAAGAAGACAGAATGCATGGTTGTTAGCAAAAGGAACAGCCCAACACATAAATTTACAAATAATTTTAACACAAGATGGAAAGTGTGACACTGAAATCAGAAGGCACATTAGGATAATGAAAATTGCCTTCCAAAAGCTAAGCATTAAGAAACAGAAAAGAATCATTAGAAACAAAGAAAAGAGTACTGAACTGTTATGTAATATCAGTCCTCCTATATGACAGTGAATGCTGGACAAATCTCACAGATGAAGAGACTTGAAGCAACAGAAATGTGGTTCTACAGAAGGATGCTGAGGATATCATGGACTGAACATGTGAATGATGACAAAGTTTTAGAGAAAATGGAAACAAAAAGGACACATATTTAACATCAGGAAGAGACAGTTGAAAATTCTAGGGTACATAATGAGGAAAGTGGTGTTGAGAAATTTGATACTCACAAGACAGACAGAAAGCAAGAGAGACAGAGGAAAATAACACATAATCTACCTAGTGAGCTTGAGTAAATGGATGGTGGAACAAGGTTTAGGAGATATAACCAAAAAACAAAATTTATTAAGAGTTAAAAAGGACAGGAGATTGTGGAGAGCCATGATCGCCAACGTCCTGAAATTTTGTGGTGAAATAATTTTTACAGATTAGCATTCTTTAGACCTTCCTTAGGCTGTGAAACTCGTCAGAATAAAAGAAATATTGGTTTGTTATCAATTTAGAAGGGGGGGGTCCTGTTTATAGTATCGATACAGTGTCAAATTGGTCCACTGACTTTTACAGAGTTATTGGCCTTTGGCTAAGTCACTTAGCTGTTATTTACAAATGTCAAGTTTGAAAATGTGCTGATGTCATTCATATCTGCATATTTTTTAAATTTTCTGAACTTTTTAACTTTTTTTAAACATTTTTGTAAAACCTTTTTTATGTGGAATTTTTATGGAAGCACAAGCACAAATATTTGATGTTCATAATTATTTATGTTAGGAATAAACAGATACGTGATTTTATTAATTTATGTAAAATTTTGTTCTTTACATAAAAATGTATATATCAGTTTGTTCATTATTTAAGAGAAATCTTTTTGTAATCCCACCTGATAAAACGTCTGTTTTCATATGCAAAACAGCCAAGGCCAATAACTTTGCCATTATACAAAAAGTATTTCCTGAAAAATGTTTTTCCCTATTTTAACGAGTGGACCAGAAGTAGCCCAAAATTTTAGATGCACAAAGTAAATTTTTTTTTTTTTTTTTAATCTTTTCATTTTTTTTATTTTTTTTTATAGAAAAGTGCCAGAAAACTAATTATTTTCTATTTTTTATTTAATTACTTTATTAAATATGTCTAATTTTCTTAAAGTCTTAATTAAAATTGTAATCTCTTTCAGTAAATTCAACCTGAGAAATTTTTTTGTATTTACTGAATTCATTTTTTTTATCCATATACAGATGGTTTGCTCCAAGTATAAGTTCTGGATTATTCTAACATATTTCCCAAATAAATCGAACGTAGCAGTTCAAACAGTTCTTTGTACTGCACCTTATCAAACACACATCATCTATAAAACTTAGATATACATCGTTTGAAACAACCACTTTTAATAAAATACAATGTAATGTTTTTAAATTGAAAGTTAAAAATGTAATTGTGCATAATTTGTTACAAAATATCTAAATTAGAATCAGATATATTTTTAAAACCAATAATTTTATTTATTTATTTATTTTTTTATCCAGAGGTGATGCCAGCACTGGAGCCAGACGAAAAGGTGTCAAGTATCTTGATCATGCAACTGTTACAGTAAGCATTGAATTTTATTGCTGAACAAATCCATTTCTTTTGCTTACATTCTTTATAAATTTTTTTGTCTTTTTCATTCACTCTAACAAGTGAGTGTTTTTCCATAAATGAATTGTATCATTATTTACAACATTTTCAACATTTGCTGTTGATTAAATACAATCATAAAAATTTCAAAAAATTTATATGACAAAAATAAATGATTTCAAAATTTCACAAGGAGAGAATTATCAATGATAATGTTCTGATTTCGAATCCGTGGTTATCTCCCTTTAACCCTCTCTCTGTTTTTGATTTTTAAATGTACTTTTTATCACATAAAATTTGGTGAGATGCAAGCAAATTTTCATTCCAAAAATGCAGCCCAGAGAAAAAATGTGTGGGAACCACTGAGCTAATGTCTTATTATTATGTAGGAGATATTTCTGCTGCACCCTGTACATTTTATAGGTAGAAAATGTTTTACCTTCAACTTTGTCAAGTGTTTTACCATTAGTTGTTATTGCTTTTATATTCAATGTTTGCAAGGTCACAAACCATGGAAAATATTTTTCATTATGTTGTATTTGAAATATTTTGATTAAACATTTTGATAGAGATATCTCTGTGGAATAATATTCAATTGTAGTTATATTTTTTATTTTAGTCATTGGAACATGCACCAATGCAGTTCAAGATCAGCTTCTCGGATGGCACAAGTCACACTTTATGTATTGACCCTTTGAAAGGAGACATTGTGTTGAAACAGGTATCAAATTATTTTTTATTTTTATGATTCTAATTTCACTTTTTCTTTTTAAAAATGTTATATAACATTCTGCATCTGTCTTCAAAGAAGGAAATAGGAAGAAGCAAGTTAAGAATCAAAACTTTAATAATTATGACATCAAAACAATTAGCAATGAGTGTGTGCATTTTGCACAATTTCTAAATCAATTCTGGGAAGATTGAATTAATATTCTGGACACACAGATTTCCTTTATTTATTTTTTGTTTTGCAATTTTTTTTTCCTTGAATAAAGTGTAGTATCTTCCTGGAAAGACGTGGCTGAAAATAATACATAAAAAAATACTGGTTGATGATGTGAGAATTTATATAAAAACATTTTTTAGTACAACAGAATTATTATCACTGTATCATAAAACCGTATTAAGGATATAGTTATATCTAGCTTAGGGTTTAGGTTAACAGCTAGAGGGAGTTGGAGTATGTTATTGATTGATTTTTTTTTTTTTATCAACTTTTTGCAGGTTATTTAAAGCCATAAAATATTGTAAGAATTTTTTGTGACTTAGTGATGCAAGTTTTACTAATTAACCCATAGCTGGGAGAAGAAGGGGTGGATTCATACCTTTCCCAAGGAGATTTGCATATAAGGGAGTATAACAAACACAACTGGAATTGGAACATGCTTCTCTGATTAACAATTCTAAGCCATTATTCAATACACCATCTGCACATCCAAACTTACAACAACTGGTTTTACCTTATCTACTGACTAGGCCCAATGTTGCTTAACTTTGGTGATCATATGGGACTTGCATTCATTTTCCATGGACATTATTATAGTGCTGTGGTTGGAAATAGAAACATGGCCTCAAAACTAATTATTCCTTGTAAATTTCTGGTTAGTGAAAAAGAGAACAAAATATGAAGATTTCATGTATTTATTCATGTATTTAGAGACACACATATTAGTTGTGATTGGGTAGTCTGAGATTTTTTTTTCATGCAGATCATTAATATTTTTGTGGGAATTAAAAGCAGTAAAAGAGTAGTGTAAAGTTTTAAATTACTTTTATTTGGATTTGATTTTTGATGGAAAGTATGTGCTTATGTGTGAGAAAGAGTTTTTGTCTTTAAGGTAATCTTAGGCTAGATGATGTCTTGACTAGGGTCAGCAAGACCCCCCTCACTGCACCCAGTTTGCCTAAAACTTGATAAGAATTGCAACTATTTGAATGTTGACTTGGCTTAATTGGAAATATGTACCTGCTGTTTATAGGTTTACTGCATACCTACATTGCTGCCACTATGGTGGCTGTGTTCCAGCTTACAATTCAGCTGTGAAATCTGGGTAGTTGTTGGGTACAATCTGAAATATCACGTTGGTTGATAAATTTCTCCATTATTGGCCTTGCTTTCCTGATGTTAAATATTGTTGCTTTTCTAATGTTGTGCTCTTGTGCAAACTTTACCGCTTTTTCACCAATATCTAGACAATATAAAATCTTACTTTTCTGTTCAGTTGTCAATGTTGCTCAGTTTCTCTTCAGTGACATGGGAATGACAATAAGCTCTATCACTTGAAACAAATCTAAACTCAGAACAAACTTGTAGATTGAATGAAAACTACACAAAAAATTTTGCTATATTTTAAAATCTTTCAGTTTAATTTTTTTATTTATGCGTCAAAATTATTTCGCTTGTATTTATCATCAAGGCAGCTAACCATTTTTATCTTTACAGATGGAACGGCAATAAAAAGCAAGTTAAATATTTATAGGATGATGAAATTTAGTTTAGATAATTCAAAATTTAAATAATTGGTGTTCCACTGTTTCTGTGTGTGTGTGAATCTATCTATTTATTTATATATGTGTATATATGTAAAAAATGTGTTAAGATTTTTCATTGCTGTTATTCTTGACAGATTACCATTGCTGGAAAAGTATGAAACAATATCAAAAGGTTGACATATTCTCTGTTAATGAATATGATTTCATTATCAAAGATGAATTATGGTTGGAGCTTAAACTATCTTTTCCTTTTTTTATTTTAAATGGTGTTTTATGTTTGGATTGCTGAGAGGGTTATTAGATCATAGCATGTATATTGATTCTTTCAATTATCTTATTTTTGAATATTGTTCTATATTATTCTAACTTCAATCCACAGTGATTGGTGATTTCCCCTTCATTTCTTTCTTTACATGCTCAGTATGCCTGATGTCTATTAACAAATATAGCTTTTGGTTATTCTCTTGGTCTCATGTTTATTTTCTCTATCATAACTGCATAGAATAATATATACATAGTTCTTGGTTATATACTCATCCTGTAGCAGCTTGGTTCTGGTGAAATATTTCTGGAGGGTGTAGCTGCTTTTGAATTTCTTACATTGTATGGATCCCAGATCTTTTGAATCATTTCCAACACATTTTTGATGTAAGAAACACTGACCCAGACTTTCAGCTATTGATGTCCAACCTTTAACCTCTGTTAATGTATTGATGATGATCTTTGAAACCCTTTAACCAGCCTGAGTTTTATACTTTTGTTTCACAGACATGGATTTGTTCATAGAAACTGTGAGCTATCACTTGCAACATTTGAGCAGAAATAGGAATCTTATCCCAAATTATCCTCGGACAGTGAATTTTTTTAACTTTATCTTTATGACCTTTAGCTTTTAAAATATCTTCTCTTGGACTTGAATAACTAGGAGTGCGCAGATGACTTTATAAAGTACTTATTCCTTTTTATTACTAAAATAGTTGTCACCCTTGCCAGTTATGCTTGCAGGGCAGTTGGTACTCTAAAGTGAAATTGTCAATAAAAATTTGATTACCATATCAACAAAACTATCTATTTTTCCATTAGTAATTGCATTAATTGATCAACTTCTCAATATTATCACCAAGTAATTAATTTATCAATTAATTCAGAAACAATTCACAGTATTGTGTAATGTTTACTTTTATGGATGTCTGATAAAAATTTAAAAATTCAGCATTTCCCCCTTAATAACCAACACTCACATTTATATCTACTCCTTCTACTCCTATACATATATAGTTCTATCAATAAAAATATTAATTTGATGAAGTCCTTCTTGAGGACAAAACATGTTACTTAGAATTTTTACATTTTGTCATTCAATTGCCTAACATTGCACTGATATATAGAAATTGATATATCATATTTTCCCATATATATATATATATATATATATAATCAAAAAAATCTTTTTACCTCATGTGGGGAATAGACTATTTTGGTAGATGATGAAAGTCGTTGTCTGTCTTTTCAACCCCAATATGGAATGTAGTTCATGTCTATAGAAGAAGTTGGAGTTATGAGTGATGCTGAAATTTTCTTAGCTTGACCAAATGTCTACAAGAATCTCCTCATATATATATATATATATATATATATTCTTATACTCAATATTATTCATTATCAAAGTTTAATAACATAAGATAAATGACTGGAAGAAGTAATGTAGGATGCATTCAAGAAAAATTTGATTCCAGTTTTTATTAATAGGCTATGAAAAAAATACCATGTTTAAAATTAATCTTACCTTTTCTTATAAATCAATGTCAACGTCTTTATTTGATATTACAGCCCTGAAGTGATTCCTATAATTATTTGTATAACTCCTCTTTTGTATTAATCAGTCCTTGATGCTTGGTATCATGTTGGTCTTGAGCTACTCTAGTGTTTCTTGAGATGATTAAGTCTGGAACTGAACAAGATGGCTCAAATGTTAATATTATTATAAATGAATCTATTCTTGATCCTCTTAGCTGTATTTAGAACATTGTTCTGCTGGAAGATCTAGTTTTTCTTCAAATTTCTTATGCTTTGCTCCATGATTTTGATATGTTGCTACTTTTTCATGGTACCATCTACATTTACAAAGTTACTATGCTCATTAGCTGAAAAGCATGACTGGAGTATTATATTTCCCTTCACCACTATTAATTGTGAGTACAGACATCTCTGGGTTGAATACCTCTTTCCTCTCTCTAAACATCCCTGTATCAAAAATCTCTATTCTTATCACAGAATTGATGATCAAAAACTTTAATCTTTGTACAGGTGATCTTTTGCAAAGGCTATACAAGCTTTCGGTATGGAGAACTAGTTGCTTTGGTTGGAGAAATAACCATTCTTTGTCTGTAAGCATGGATGCCAACTTTGTGCAGTTTCCACTTAAATATCTGCCATATATGTTGGTTCTAGATTTGCTGAAATTCTCCAAGATGACTTTTGGTTATGATCCTGGGATTGTTGTTGGCTTCACACGTCACCTTTCTTACCAACTAAATGAATACTATTGGTTTTTCTTACCAACTAAATGAATACTATTGGTTTTTAAGCACAACCTTTAAGATATTGTCTTGAACTTATATTTCTATATAAGGCTGTGTGGACATTGGCATTTGAAATTCTTTTATCAGCCTTACTCTCCTTTTTAGAAGAAGCCACAATGCACAACTTTAAATCTTCATCTACTGTCTTTACATCTGTTAACCAAACCTCACGACTATAAACTAACAAAGATTCCATTAAATTCCATCCATTTATAATTAATAAGATTGTTTTCATCCTGTTAGAACTTATCAACAATCTTTGCAAGTTTTGTGAAGAGGATGGAATCATTTAAATAGGACAGAAAATAATAGAAAGGAAATCTGCTAGAAAATAACAAAGAAAATCTGCTAGAAATAACCTATAGGTTATGCACAAACACACACATATAAAATATGTATGTAATTTTACTTTAAACAGAAGCCTGTCACTTTTCTTGTTGCATGTTATAAATTTGCATGAACTTAATATATTGGATTGGATTAATGTTTAATATTTTTAATATATTTTCATACAGGATTAATTGTCGGTAAGAATATTTGACTTTTAATATGAATATTAAGTATTTTTTATACTTTTAAATTTTGGCTTATTGCCAATAGTAAAATATTGTTTATATAAAGCTAAACAGAATTGACTTTTTTAGGTATTTATTTGATTAACTTTAAAAAACATTTCAAGATATTTTATCTCTGGAAATTATGATTATTCACAGTTTATGAAAACTGTTGATGCAAATAAACTTCAAATATTAATTTAATCTATTACTCATTAAGATCTTCTAGACTATATGCTATAAAATATATTTGAATATTTTCTAGATATTTTCTCTGTAAATACTTTTTTTAATCACCTAAAGTAAATTTTGATAAACTTTTCTATTGATATTTTGTGATTGCATCAAACATATTTCTAAAGTAAAAAAAACTGGATTCATTTTTAAAAAGATGCTATAGAGTACAGAAATGGGTTATAGGATGTGAAGCCCAAATTCTTATTTAATGACTGAAATAAAAATACCTTCCTTTAATCTTTTCCATAATGAGTTGAATAATGGAAGACAGGAGTGTATAAAGTTGATTATTTCCACACACCTATTATGGAGAATTAAAGGCAAAATTAATGGGCAATATAAAATCTAGAGGAGAATGTGGTGGTAACTCTGGGTCATAATGAGGACTTTTCAATACTTTTCTTCTATAATATGGAGCATATTTATAATTTACATTATTTTTATTTTTCAGAAATGGTTAGATGCCCTTAAAGAACATATTGATTACACAAACCATTACATGAATCAAGGGAATGTGAGCGATGAAGAAAAAGAAGATAATATAGGAAATATTCAAGACTCACTGATGGTAAATGTTTTCATAAATTTTCTTTTGATTATCAAATCAAACGTACAGTGCAAATATTTTAATAATGTAATAGTTTTTTTAGTGCTGAATAAGAAATTATATATCACAAGTGGGGGTCCTATCTCACTTTTCATCTCATTTATTTCCAAATTCTTGTAAAATCTTAGTTTCATAAGCAGATTTCTTAAAGGAAATGAAAAATTAATTAAATTTATAACTATAAAAAAAGGAAACAATATGAAAAAGTGGTGGAAATATGACAGAAAATCAAATCAATACAAAGTATCAATCTTTTAAGTTCTTTATTGATTTAAGTTGTAGGTAATTGTCCATAGACTGAATTATAAGTTTACCTGTATGATCAAAAATTGATGATAGCCAAATTTAAGTCATTTTGTAATTGTGTTGCTTATAATTTCTGCATGACCAATATAAGTTTTTATCTATAGAATTCTATTGTTTTTTGTTTTTTTTATTTAATCAATTTACCCCAAGCAAGGGAATAATGTTACTAATATGCAAGGAGTTACTGGAAGTGAAAGAGAATGAAAAACTTTAAAAGGAACTAGAAATCTAATCCTAAACATTAAACAAAGAATAAACCACTACTCTTGTTCAAAAGGATAAACCACTACTCTTGTTCAAAAGGATAAACCACTACTCTTGTTCAAAAGGATAAACCACTACTCTTGTTCAAAAGAGGAGTGGGAATCAGATGATTGCTTTTTAAATTATTAAAAATAAAAAATTGTTGCATGTAAGAAAAAATTCTGTTTTATAAATCATTAAAAATAGAAATATTTGAAGAAAGTGAAATAAATAAATAGCAGTATTTTAGTGATCTGATCATTCCTATTTCTGATATTTGGTTGTTATGGTAACATGAGGCTTGTTAGCTTATTGGCATTAAATAATGCTTTCTGTTAACAATGGAATACTTCACTGTTAAGATGGAGAGATCAGACTATATGACCAATAAAGTCAGATTGTTTTATATTATAGAATAGATCATAATCAACTTTTTTGCTTTAGAACTTTATGTAGTTTATGTTTATTTTCAGTTAGCAGGATTTCTGTGACTAATTTGGCTGAGAGCACAAATGCCTACACAAATGCTCATGAATTATAAATCAAATACATTCCCTGGATATCTCTAGTCTATCAGCAATTCTTTTAGTTGAAATTCATTGTCCAAAATTAGGTCATGAACATGATCAATAATTTTTGGTGTTGACACCATTGAAAACTTCCCAGAAAATGCTTCATCTTGCGTCTCAAAATTTACATGTAGGAAATTGACACATCAGTTATTCATTGTTGAGTTTGATATGCACTTTTTATCCAATCTTTGTTTGAATTTCCTTTGGATTTTTCTTCTGAAGAAACAGAAAATTTATTTATAATGATCTGGAGATCAACACTTGAAAGTTCTACACTTTCTGTTGACATGACTGTAAACAAATTAAAACAATAACTGCAAATCTACTGCAGATTAACAATGTAGAAGATTATTTACAGCTACACTGACAAAATAAAAACTCAAATTTTGCAAAGTGGGTCGGGCCAAGAACTGTGTGTATATACAATGTGAATATAGACTCTTTCCCCCATAAATATAGCAAATTTTAACCAGTAAACTTCTATATTCATTTAAACAAGTTTGACTGGCAAGAACAGACAAGTTATATCTACTGTACAGTTTTTATAAATTTTTCTTGTTGATAAATTAATTTCCATATCTTGGTATTAAAGGTGTATAGGCACTGTTCATATTTCATTTCAGCACTTGTTGAGGTTCTGAACTTTTCATTTGGTTTAGTCATTATGAAAGAATTGAAATTCAATCTGTTAGGCAATAGTTGGCATCTTTTGGATGATTTTGAATTTCATGTTTTAAATGTTTCTGATGTCATATAAATGTGATTTTATTTTTGAATTTAAAAATTTGGTGTGTCATGTGAACATGATGTAGGGATTCTTAGAATTGATTTGTTTACAAGGGGTGCTGAAAAGTTCTTAGCCTAACTCTTCCTAAATTCTAATCAAATGACCAAACATCAGATTTTTTTTTCTTTTGGAAGAACTTCTTGGCTAGGTTAGGAACTTTTCAGCAACCCTTCATATATATATATATATATATATATATATATATATGAGAGAGAGCAATGAACTTGTAACTCAATAATAAAGGTTATTTAAATATTATTCAATTTGATCTCCTTCCTAAGTTGAGCATATTATACAGTGAAAATGTCAATTTTGAAAATTCAGTTACTAATTCTTGAATCCAAAGTATCTACTATTGAATTGAATGTTTTATTTGACAAAAACTATAGTACCTAATTGTCATCCATATTTGGAGGTTTATGAATGAATGGATTTATTGTTTATAAGTTGCATCATTCCCATCATTTCACACTCTTGAACTTGAGCTTTGCAAATGTGTTTCTCACTGAGCACATGTGCATAGTTATTTAATTTTTTATTAGAAGAATTTAGTATTAGTGAAAATGTTTTCAGTATTTGTTGGCTGAAAGTCAATAATTTATTTAATGGGAAATTATTAAATTCTTTGTATACAGTTAATTAAACATTCATATTAGACTAACCAAATTGAACTGTATTTTATTAATGAAGATGGCATATTTAATGAATTATTAGAATATTTTAATTCTTTTATAAAAATTGTACTTTTTTGGTGTCATTGGACAATTATAGTGATTTACAAAATTTAGACATGTTAAATTAATTTTATTTGAAACTCACAAGCTATTGCATCTGATTTTGTTTCGGTCTCTTTTATAGAATGTTAACATATTTAAAATTACTCCTCTTAAATAAGATAACCATAATAGGCCATTAATATGGCTCCAAAACTGCTTTTTTATTATTGGTCATCTATGTCATCTGGTTTTATTTACAGATATTCTGGCAAATTGAAAGCAAGGATTTTCTTTACTTTATTATCTGTAAAGATGCAACATGGTGTAAATGTTGCTGGCACAGAAAACAAAATCAGCTAAATTTAAATTTTGCCTCACTTCACGCTAATGCCCTGAGGAAGGCATGAATTCTCTGCACCCTGCACTCTGTCTAATTACCAGTTGTCTTGACAGAATATCCTGACACTAACATGCCGTAATAGTTTACGAAAGTATGTGTGAATTTACAAACCAGTTTTCTATAACTGCCTAACCTACATAGACAGCAGCAGCAACAAACCTCTTATCCCTGTAATTGGCCCTAATAATCATTAATTGTGAATGATGGGAATTTTGCTGCATTTAATGATTCAACGGGATAAAATCATTATTTCATTTTACTTTTGAAGTTCTTGAAACATTTGCATGTATAACCAAGTAATTACAAAACTGATGTCTACGTTATATATTGAAGCCCAAAGATTAAGATTTGACAGTTAATTTGATGGACACAAAATAAGGCTCCAGTTTAGCATTATATTTACATTGTAAATCCAATCCATCACTAAAAATATAAATGGTTTTTGGAGTTTTTGAAAACTAATATTCTAAAAGCATGCTTCAATGTTTTATGAGTAAGCACAGCAAATTTTGTAGCCATAGATTTAGTTATGCAATGATGGACAGACAAATGAAAAGAAATTTGGTGAATTATTTGGTTAAGATGATTATGCTGTGGCATAAGGTTAATGAGAATTACACATTTCTGATAAGCTTCTTTTAAATGAATGCTAATAATACCAAATATGCATAAGGCTTACATTACAGAGTCATAGACAGCACATTACTGATTTTTCTTTTTTTTAACTGTATCACAGTGTAATAGAAAGAGAGATATGTTATCAGTTATAAAATCAGAAATTATTGGTATGACCCAATGCTATTGAATAATAGGCCCATTTGATTTTTCTTAATGGGAATATAGATTAAAGAGATTTTTACAAGGACATTGGTGTTTAATAATGTTTTCTTCTTTATTGAACTTTATCAGATATTTATGTATTTTGGATGAGTAGCACAGTGAAGAATGGATTTATAAAATGTTTATTTTTTTTCTTCTGAACTAATGCTAATAATAACTAATAATAACCAAATGATAAGCTATGGTAATAACAGAACTCTTTTAGTCAGTATGTTTGAAGAGGGTGCTAAGTGACAGTTCTCACCATTTTGTATAAAGTGAACTTTAGAATTTGTAGTCATCTTCATGCAACTGTTTGAAATATTCACAGTATTTATAAATTGGTAGACCAAATAAACAACGTATGCTAAATTTTTGGGTTAAAATGCCCAGTATCAGGGATAGAGTGTATGTAGATTAAATGTATATTGCCTGAAGATTGTGTTTAAGCATGAAACAGATTGTCACCACTGGGCTGGGTGTTGATCTCACTGTCCACTTATATTCAAACATATTTTATTAAATTCACCTGACAAGGTTTGTTTATTTAGCTTTTAGTTATATTTTTTTCAAGTTGGCATTAATCTATTAGGTGCTCACATAACACAACAGTACTTTAGAGTGTAGTTATTGATAAATATTTTAAATCTTAAGCAAAATTTAAAATGTCTTCTTTTATGGCATTCAATGTTTCTTTTGTTTGTAAGTATTTTGAAACTTAGAATTGGTGCTATATAATATTTTAGTATTATCTATTAGTAGTTGTTTAATGTTACTAATCATGTCATAATTAAATAAATAATGGTACTTACACTTTAAGATGCTGTTATGTTATGCAACTCTAATGGACTATTTTTTTAATTTAAAGTGTCTATCATTTAAATATAGTTACCAGGTGTTTTACACATAACATCACATGTGATAACACACACACACACACACGTGTGTGTATACATATATATATATATATATGTGTGTGTGTGTGTATATATATATATATATATATATATGTCATTCACAGACTACTGTTTCGCTGTATCACAACTCCTCAGTGTGACTAGACATCTGAAAGCCTCAAACCAGGATCTAATTCTAGCAGTTTCTCTCTGCCAAGTGCTGATGGCTTAGGGTTAGAGACTCCAACTCACACCAAAGCAGTTGGGTTTCGAAAAGAAACAAAGTTCAAGATGGTGATTGATGTTGCATTTAAATTTTGGATGTCTACTCGCACTGAGGAGCTGTGATACAGCAAAACAGTACTGTCTGTAAATGACATACATATATATATATATATATAATAATAATAATAATTTAAAAAAAAATGGATAAAATTTATATGAACTTTATTTGATTGTAAACTGATAACCTCCTTTAACTGTTCTTGATAATAACAAATAATGGTTTAGAGTACAAGAATCAAAACACAATGAACTTTAGACAGTTTCTTCAAAACCTTGATCCATCTGAATAGCAATTCATATGTCAAATTGAAAAAACTTAGCTAAAATGCATGTTTTAATAAAACATGTCAATGAATTCCTGCTGCTCAAGTACAAGTATGCATGAAATTACTGTTGGTAGAAGTTTTTGAAAATATTTGTATTCAAAAAGGAAAATGGTTTTCTAAACATTTTTGGTTTGAGAATTAATAGATTGAACTAGAAAATTCTTATGGGAAAGAAGATTTATTTGGCATTTCTTCTGGTGATCAGAAGATAAGTCATAATTAAGTCATCAGATTTTTAATTGATGTTATATCTTTTTGGTTATGATTCATTTTAACAGGAATTCTTGATTTACATAGAATTAAGGTTGATCATGAAAGGATCTATATATGAACTGTTTGCTGATTGGCTAATTGCATCCTACTTAATCATTTGTCAGAAAAGATAAATGTTAAAATTCAAATTTACTTTTATTAATCATTTTTTGTGCAGATTTATGCCTATAGTAAATATAATGTAAAATTGTTCTCTACATGTTTGCAAGAACAATACAACATGAACAGTTTTGACATTAGACACTCTACAAAATCATTATTGATAAAAGATAACTAACTCATGATTTATTAAAATCTCAGTAGATTTCAGCTGACATTTACAAATAAGGGAAGATAGTGAAAATTCAAGTTATCATGCAATATTTAAATTTTTTTAAAATTTTTCTAAAGATTTTTTTTTTTTAAAGGTGATAATGCCACTAGAACTTAGAGGGAATGAAAGAGAATGAGAAGACTGAGAATGGAAAGGATTGAGGAAAGGACAAAAAAAAAAAAGAAACAAAGTTCAAGATGGTGATTGATGTTGCATTTAAATTTTTGAAGATTGTAGTTATCAGGGAAACAAATAATTGGAAGGGAGCTCCACAGGTGAGAAGTGCAAGAAAAGAAACTATTAGAATAGAAGTGTTGGTTGCATCTAGCTAGTTCAATAGTAAAACAGTGAGAGCTACTTGCCAATCTAGTAGGATGCTTAAATTCATGTAGTCAGGGCACCAGGGGAAAAAAGCACATCAGAGCAGTTGTCATTAAAATATTTGTAGAAAAGACAGAGAGAAGCCATGTCATGTCAGCAAGAAAGTGACTGAAGTCAAATTGCCTGATCAGGACCGATAACATTATGTGCCCTTCTTTGGATGTACAGCAGGAGCACCAGACCAGATATAGCAATAGTATTCAATGCACAGATGAATGGTAAATTTATAAAGAAGATGGATTCTGACAAGAAAAATTTTCTGGCATGACTGTGAACCAATTTTCCTTGCAGTAGATGTAGCAATTGATTTGATATAGCTGCTTGACTTCATGTCAGTGGAAAACATGAGGCCAAGATTAGCATATACCATGCTGATAGCATACAGAAAAGGTTCTCTGTGGTGATTAAATGAAAGCAGTTTTGTTTTGGAGGCATTAAAATTTACAACCTATTTCTTGCCACAGTTAACCATTGATTGGAGGTTGTTTTCAAGAGCAGTTGTCAGGTTTACTTTGTCAGGGCTGTGTTGGATTTGCTACTAAGACAGGAATAAACGGTTGTTTCATCTGCATAAATACCTAGTTGGGAACTCATGACATCAGGAACGTTCATTGATGAACATCAGAAAAAGTATAGGTCCAAGGATAGAACTAGTAATCCCTACATTAGTATAAAATGATCTGGAAGCATATCTGGTCAACACAACATTTATTACACGATTTGTTAGAAATGATTGGATTAAATCTTTAAAATTGCTAAAAGAAATTTTGAAAGAGAAATTATTCTATCAGATTTCTTTATGATTTTTTTCTTTCCTTTTCTTTTGCTGTCATATCTCAACTAATTCTTTTTGGAAATCTTTCAGACTGCTCATGCACATCAAGAAGTTCTTGGTCAATTATTAACATCTGTCACTTCTCAATTATCTGATATAAATAAGGAAACTTCATCTACCCAAACAGGTTAGTTTTATCTCGGATTATTAACAACCACTTATAAATTATGTTTTTTCTCTCATATGAATTCAGCTATTTCCATATTTATTTTTTTGAATTGTGAGAACATGAACTATTTTACACCCAAATTTCTATAAATTCATCAGTTTTTTCTTCCATTTTGCTTATATGGCATCACTTAGCTCTCAATCCTTAAAAATAAGAAATGATATAAGATTAGATTTTACAATTACAGCTTGAAAATCCTTAATTTCAGTTTATACATGTCTATAAAAAGTGTTGATATGCCTTGTCAGATATGGATTTTACTTGTCATAGAAAGTGTAAAATATTTAATAAATAGAATATTTCAATAAGTTTCAATTTTTGCTGTTTTTTCAATGCTCTTTATTTAGCATAGCAATTAAAAGTTTGAAAACAAACTATTTAGATCGACTTTTATGTTATGTATCATAAAATTATTGTTGAAATGATATCAATTATTGAAATATTAAGTTGTCTAGATAGTTCTGACACCCTTAGGAAGCAGAAAGAAAGCAACAAAATTTTATAGAGCAATACCAACATTTATTCTTCAAGATAAAGTCCATCATTTTCATTGATCTTCTGCCAGTGATCAGCCAGCATCTGAATCTGTCCCAGATATCAATCTGCTGGCTTTGAATAAAAAAAACTGTAAACAAGCTTCCTTCATTTCATCAAAAGTGTTGAATCCCTGGTCACAGAGGAAGTGTGCCATTGAGAGAAATTGGCCATAGTCACTTGGAGCAGCATCAGGACTGAATGGTGGATGTGTGAGTTTGAACTTCTCTCTGGCAGTGTGTGACCTTGCATTGTTTTGTTGAAACAAAGCCCAACCTTGATTGAACAAAGCAGGATACTCCTTCTTTAGTTTGTTGTACATGCAGTCTAGCTGTTGGTAATACAGTTTAGCATTGATAGCATGACCATATGGAACAAGCTGAAAATGCAATACTCCTTGGAAATTCTACCAGACACAGATCAAGATTTGTTGTTTTCTTTCTGCTTCCTAAGTGAGTCAGGACATTCTGGCCAACCTGGTATAAAGTAAATGCAATTATGATGTTCAATAAAAATAGTAGGTTGAGACTGACTGTTCATTGCAATTCAATGGCATATTCAACTTGGAACTTTGAATGTTTGACTATAAATTCACTCTTTATTTTTGTAATACTGGTAAGTATTGGTCTCCAAGTTAACTTTATATAACTATCAAGGGAAAAAGTGTGCAGAGTATCTAACTAGTAATTGAAGTAATTTGATTATTTTGTCATTCATCTTTAGTCTCACTTCTTTTTCAATTACTCTGTTTAAAACTTAAATGCAAAGCAGAAAGAAAATTATAAATGTTTATAATTACTGTTTCATTATTAACAGATACGTTCCAATGTACATGGCAGATAAACATTAAATTTCCTTTATCAACATTGTCCCATTATTCTTTATGTAGACATTCACTCATTTTAAAAACTGAAACTTGTGCACATTAGATTATTGTGAGAAACATCAAATTATCATTTTTTTCTGTCATCATGCTGTGTCAATGATAGTGTACTATTGTTATGATGATTATGGTCAAGAAGGATTGGATTGATGCCTTTTCAAAGAGAATATAAATGTATTCATGCATCTTTTGAGTGATGATGAAACTTTTCTTTTCATTTATTTTTAATTAAATAGTGATGCTTTCTGTTTTTGTTTCTCTTTCAGCTTCTTGGATGTCTGTCCACCAAACTTTTCATGAGATTTTGGGGACATCTAAAGAAATGTACACTTCTCTAACTCACTGCATAAAGCTAGTAAAAAATCAAGAAATGGTAAGAACTGTTTTTTATATTTCATCCTTTGGCTAAAAGAGAAATTAGGCAAAATAAATAATGAAATTTGTACTGTTCCATTCTGTTTATATTTCTCAATATCTATTTAAATTGATTTCTAGGGGAATCTTGTGTTATTATTTTGATTGTTACATTAGAAAAGTTTTTGTTTTTAATTTATTTATGTATGCAGTTTCATATTTAAGAGTGTTATTTTTAGTTAACTTTATTGAAACTATTTTTTTAACTGTTAATTTTATCTTTTTTCTTTAGCGTTAAAAATCTGAAGTGAATCTAACAACCAATTATGATTATATCTCTCTAATTTGCTTCTCTTGAATTCCAAAATAAATGAATAAGTACCATATATATTTTTGTATAAGCTGACTTAAATCTTTTTTGCCTGAATTTTAACCCCTCCAGAAAAAATTTACCTGTGTATAGTGCAATTAATCACCAAAAATGCATGATTTTTAACCTATGCAAAAAAAACTACCTATGTATAGTGTGACACTTTCTTTTTTTTTTTCTTCTTTTTTTTGTAAAAAACTAATCATAAAATATAAATAGCAGAACTGTCCAACAAACAGAATTGACAAAGTTTGCAATAAACAAGAAGAAGAAGAAGAAAAGAACAGGACAAAAAATAATATAAAGCAAGCAAACAAGATATGCAAGGCAAATTAACAGTAATGATGCAAAGCAACTGTAATAAGGTAAAAATTTCACAAACTATGAACTAGGGTTGACACACAAGAACAAGTTTGGATAAGCAAATGTTGTGTTCTGACTTCAAGACAAGACAGACCAGGACTAAGTCATATGAAACCAAGAACTAGCCTATTTTATTGGCTAGGAAGAAATCCCAGCATGCATTTGTGTGCTTCTGCCTATCAACTGGGAGGGAGTGTTTTGCAGTCATTCCTATGGATAATGGAACTAATAATGTCAAAATATTTTACATCTATATTCCAAAAATACAATCTGCTCTATGCTCAAGAATGTTGTATTTACAAGCAGAAATGATCACATTAATACTGGCTTGTTGATAGTATCAATCAATGCCTGCTAATGTTTTATTAGAAGAGAAATAAGGGTACAACATCCACTTTAGAGTGAATTTTCTGTGGCTGACATGAAGCTACTATAATAGAAATTAAGGAAGTTAAAGAAAAGTACAAGTTGGTGCTGTGTCACTATTCTAACTCAGTAAAAACTAAATAGTTTAAGCAAGAATTGCTGTATCTACATTGTTCACACACTATATTATAGTAGATTAAGCCTGACAACATTCTACAGCTGATACTTGAAAGAAATCCACAGAATTAGAATAAAATAATACAATAAAGATTAGCACAATCCAAAAACACTCTTTAAATATAAAACTGTTCATTTGATATGAATGTGACATGATAAAGGAATTATAAAACTATTAAAGTTCTGCCATAAACTAAAGTATTGAACTAACTCATATTGTTTTAGAAGTTTCAGTGTCAAACCCAATTCTGTCTAAAAAAAAATCAATGAAAGAGCTTGACAAGCTTAAGTTGGAGAAAGAATCCATTTTAATTGGTAACTATATCCACAAATTTCTGTCTTTGATTGAAAAGAATCATTTCTATCTTTGGTAACATTAACTATTAACCAAATACCATTTCATTGATCAATAAAAGAGCTTATATCAATATGGATTCAGAAATAAAACACAGGTGAGAAAGAAGCCAATAAGGAAATTGTCATCAGTAAAGAACATTTAATAGCTTAGAAAAAAACAGTTCTTACAAAATGTTCAATTTTGCAACAATAATTTCTAATGGGAAGATTGTTGAATGTACACCAGTCATAAAAAGTGAGATAGACAAAGAGAAAATATCTTAGAACAGTAGTGATTCCCTTGTTGAAATTTAAATTTAATTTAAATCAAAGGGAAAAAAAAAATTTCAGTGGGGGGTTTTGTGCCCTTCAAGGACCCAAAAGGATCAAAATGAAATAGGCTTATCCAACTACCTTGGGAGTCATTCCCTTGTTTAAATTTAAAGTTTAAATCAAAGGAAAAAAAATTTCAGGGTGGGGTATGTTCCCTGGGGACCACACTAATATCAAAATATACTTATCTAAGTACCCTGGGTAATGTAGTTTCAGAATATATATAGTTATGGAGTTTATCTCCAAAACCCTAGGAGGAGTTTGATAACAAGCAAAAAGACAGACAGAGGCTACAACTTTATATATATATATATATATATATATATATCAAAATAAGGGAGACCTTACAGAAATGGGTTTACTAATGAGGCTGATAAACTGATGACATCTTCACACTCTAATTGCACCAACATCATTAGAAGTTCCAAGTAGTTCATTTGAGAGAAAGAAGAAAAAATTATTTTCTTCACTGCCCTCATAACCTGCACATCTAATACAAGTTCAAAATGTCCAGCCACTAAAGAAAAATATAATCTCCATCCCTTGAAACTTTGATTTGTGTCACTCATATAAAGAAAAAGATTATCTAGTATTTATAAAAGTAGACAAAACCTAACAGTACTGACCCAAACATTTAAAAGTATGAACTAGATGTTCTCTATAGAAACATTTATTCAGAGATATGTCAACAGATGGATAAACTAGAAATATAAAAATCATAAATTCTACTCTACTTATATGGAAGAAATAATAGAAAAAATACAAAAAGTCTGTAAGCTCTAAAGTATTTTAACAGTTTTAAGGATCATCATAGCTCTATACATTATTTAGTAAAAGGTAATTTCCAAACAAGAAAAAAACTAAGAACTGAATATACAACACCCCATTGTTGACTACAAAGAGCATGGTTGTTGTTTGTCTATCTTTCAAATTGACTATGCCACAAGTCTGTCAAATATTCCTATATGATGGTTTGTTCCTACTTAAAGGTCTTTTAGAAATAAACAAGGATTTTTTAACACAACTTATTAAAGTTTATTTTCTTTCTGTGGCATGAAAGGCAAAAATGTTTTAATAGTCAAGAAAAGAAGGGAAAATATCTGTTAGTAAACCAGGAAAACTTGCTGATGGTTTTTTTGCTTTGCCTCTCATGTATGCTTTCTGCATGTCTTTGTTCTAACAAATTACATAACAGTGTGTGTGGACATGAGTCCAAGAAATCTCAACTTGCTGAAAACTTCTGTATGCACTCAAAGTTTATTATAGGAATCATCTTGATCCTAAATGATCTTAAAATATTTCTCCTTTTCCAGAACTTCTTTTTTAGCATTATTGTTACTACTGCTTATTTTTTTTTACTTACCAACTAATACTCATTTTAACTATATTCTGCCATTTAATTAGTTTATTTTCTGCAATAGCCATATGCCAACTTCCAGTAAATTCAACTTTTATTCATTACTATCATTCTTTTGCTGAACATATGTATAATTTTGTTAATATAAGCTTTTAATCAATCAAATAGTTATCTATTCCAACACAAAGACTGCATTTACCTATCTTTATACTACTAGCCAAATATCCATTCTATAAAGAGGGAACAGTAACTTAGAGAAGTTCTCTTACTGTTCTAAAATGTTTGTATAAACAACATTTTCAATAAGACATCTGCTGGCCACAAGAGAAACATTAGAAAAAATTTTCTTAGGTTTATTTTAATTGATTAAACAATCTATTTTTCACTTGTTTAAATAATTTGGTAGACTTTTAAGAAAATCTAGTTGAAAAGATTATTTTGACTTATTTAGATAATTCCATAAAATTTTTTTCAGCTTCATTCAACAACTTTATAGTAATGTGAAATATCAAACTGTAACAATGCTTATTATTTAGTAGTTTTTCTAATTTATGATTGAATTTTGATAACACAGATATAAATTCTTTCTATACAAACATGATGAATTTAAAAAAAATTATTGACAAAAACTATTTTGTTCTGTAAAATGGGAACTTTTAGCAAGTATAATTTATTGATATTTTTCGTCATTCAATTTGGAAATCATGTTACACCATTTAGTTGCAATGGAGAATACATATTAGAAACTCTGGCAGCTATAACCATTTGAGAGCAGGCCCATCAATTGATAATATGTAATTACCTCTATCAATGAAGTTAGGCAAAGATGATTTATTCAGACATGTCTGACTGACTACACAATATCTCCAGAAGCTCTTATGAATTATGACATTTAGTGGAAAGGTAGGCTTTAAATAAAAAAAACAATTGATTAAATTTGGGAGCAAATCCAGAAATTGTTTTGTTTATTTTATTAAAATTGCAAGATAGGATAGTTTTTCAGCTTTTGGGATGTAATACACAATAATGATGTCATCAAAATGGCAGTGTAGTGCAATATCCTGCACTGCCGTTATTATAATAATGACATTGCAAATAATTCTTACAAACTTTATTTGACAGCTGGTTTGTAATTTTTTCGTGGCAGTTTTATTAGCAAAGATATTCATTCTCTGAATGCCTTTTTATTGTTTGAAATTCTGAAAAAACAGTTTCATTTGTCCAAGAAGTATTTGCATTTTTATCTTTATTTTTTTCTTGTTTGTGTTTCATTGGCCTTCCTCAAGTGTGTGCTTCATCCCAAATACCCATTTTACATATATATATATATATGTCATACAAGTGTTGCCTTGTTTATATATATATATATATATATATATATATATAAACAAGGCAACACTATGTAAAACTCCTAAGTAATGACTTTTCCACTTTACAATACAAATCATTTCATAATTATAGGGTAAGATGGATAAATTGTTATCTAAATTACACAAAAATGAAAATAACACTGACATCTTATTTTAACAGATATATTTACCAAAATTACACAAAAATATCATGAAAACTAAAGAGTAAATTTATTCCATAAAATCACCATTCGCTCAGATAATTTTGGTATCTCCTGCAACTATTTTGGATGGTCTCCTTGTTTAAGATGGTGAATGCTGCTATAATCCTTGCCTTCAATTCATCTTTGGTGTTACAAGGAGTTTTGTTAGTCTCTCACTCAACTGTGCCTCACACATAATAATCAAGGAGGTTGCAGACAGGGGAGTTAGGTGGAAAGATTTAAAGGGTGATGTCAGACATAGGGTCTTCCAACAGCTACCCTCTTGACCCAGGATAGCACTATCTCTTCAAGACATTTGATGTAGGCCTCGGTCGGGAGTTCTTTTCTTATCAAAGCGATCAGAGTGAGTTTTCTGAGCTGTTGCACCTTCATAATCACCATTAGACTCCTCCAACTCTTTCTGAATCCCCTGCACTGTCTTCAGATTGACACCCAAACACACTGAAATGTTCGTATTGGAGTTTCCTCTGCAAATGCCAAGTAGTACAGCGTCCTATTTCCAAATTTCTGGTAGAGTAAATTGCATCATGATGCTCTTTTTTTCACAGATGGTGCCCAACTGACTCTACTATACCGTGCAGTTGACAAAATCAAAAACAAACAATGCACATGTGTGAAATTAAGAATATAAAATGGCGACAATTTACCCATCGCATCCTGTATAACATTGACCAAAGATACACTTACTAATTCATATAATTTCTGCTAAAAATTAGATAAACTGTAAGTATATTAAATATAAGGTACTTCTATCTTAACTTACAGAAGTATTCATAGTTAGCGCATAAAAATTTATAGCCATTATAACAACCTCTTCATATAAGTCAGGCTTTTGTATGGTGTAAGTATGAGTGAAAACAGGATAATATCACAGCTATTTGTAGCAGGGAAAATAAGAGAAATCAGTTATTCTTTGAAGACTACTGTAAAGAATAAAATCAGGCATAGCAGACCAATGATTGCAGGCAAGAGAGAGTGCATTATTTCATTAGGAATTATGTTGAAATAACAAGCAAAGAACTATACTGGAAAGTGTGTATTGTGAAGGAAGATTTCCAACAATAGCCCTCAGTATGATTAAAGCCATCCCTTGAAATTGGAAGAAACAGGATTTGTCTGAAATAGAAAGTCTTTGTAAAGTAAGTGAAAGGTAAGCTAGAACCATTTGTTGGAAAGTAATACATAAGTCATTCACAAGCTAAGTAGAATTTCAGAAGGCTCTGCAGATAGCTGAGAAAGGGTAACATTAATTGCATTTCATTCTCGGACTCCTAGAAAGATCTCTCTGTTGAAACCAAGGTACATGAAGGATCGTCTATAGCAGGTCTGCACAAAATATATCCTGCAGGCTGCATGTGGCTCACAAGACTATTTAACCTGCAAGGGGTTTTAAAAATAATAAATTTTGTGTCTTCATCAGAATAAATTTGGCAACTGGTTACTTTTGTGGACACATGATTTAAATTCAGCCAATTTTTCACTGTTATTTTAACTAATTGCTCACTTTAAATCTCCATAGAAAAATAAAAATAATTTTCTCACCCATCCTCTCCCTATATATCTCTTTCTGTATCATTCATACTGAATATTCTTATTCATTGGTTTCATCTAAACAAGAGTCAAATCAAAGTCAAGTTTGTAGCAATGTGAAGAAACCCTTTGAAACAACTGGCATAAGTGATAAAAATGTTTGGGTAGGATATGCACAAAGGTGGCATTCCCCTGTCCTCCATTTGAAGAAAGTGACTGAGGAGGAGAAAATCTTACTTAATATTTCGATGATATTGTCAGGTAGTTGTGATGAAGGGTACAGTTATCTTTACTAATGTTACTCTATTATTGTTGAGATATAGTAAATCTTTTAAAAATATGCATGGTGGAGTAATGGATATCGGCTTGGATTGAGGAATCGCAGAGCCGAGTTCGAATCCAGGTTGAATCCATTACATTCACTTACGTGCTAATACCCTTGGGAAAGGGATGAATCTTCTTCTCCCTCCAGCTATGGGTAAAATAGCAGGACAAACTGGGTTCTATAGCCTTGGATGGCAACTGGTCTAGGAGAAGGACAACTCTGAATTCAAAACCAGCGGAGGGTCGTTTGGGGACCTTGTGGCATGTAGTGCACCGGGTTTCTGTATTCAGCCCTTCAAAAAGTGTGGATGGTCCTGCACAAAACCTTCACCACTATAATCGAATCTCATGTGCCGGTGTCGGGCTGTCAGTTTCCTGGAAACTGATCTGTTTTTGACCCTCATACGTCGAACCCGACGGGAGATATATATATATATATATATATATATATATATATATATATATATATATATATAATTATGATTGTTCACCTCTGCTTCTTATAGACTGTAAGTATAATAGCTGATAAAAGAAACTTTAAAAGACAGTATAATCATAATATTATTAAAATATAGACCATTTTCTATTTTGTCTAATGGCCTAACACAAAAACTATTGTAATTATTGTTTATTTTAATTTCTTTCATTAGCCTACTATACTTGGATCTATATAATAAAAGTGAATGTCAGTATGTGACACCTTTTCAACTTTACTCCTAGAGGCTGTAGCTCAACATATACCATTTTGGAATCAGGCCGACTCTGAGCAAATTAAAAACATACCAGGCCATATCCTAACCTGGTATACTGAAATTTTGGATTCCTATATTTTCATTACTACAATTGTTTTTGGATTCTGCCATCTTGGATTCTTTCCTTCTAGTGATAAAAATAATTAAAGTGACACAAATCTCTAATTTTCAATAGAGCATGTCACCTGAAATTTTGGATTCCCAAGTTTTCATTACTGCGATTGTTTTCGTCAATTTTTTTTTTTAATGTGATTTTTTTGCACCAAATTTTTTGTATGATAACAATTTTTATAACTTGGAAATAGATTTGAGAAAAATCAAAATTAATTGCAAAATCCAGGGAAAGTCACTTATGAAATAAAAATAATTGTTTGTACAGAAACTAAGGACATATGTACATAATGCATTACTTAAATGTAGTGTAAATTTTAAGCTAGTATATATATATATATATATATATATATATATATATATATATATATATATATATATACACACACACCACACTTATTAAAAGAAAAAATAACTTACTATAGGCGGAAAGATCTTGAGAGTGCAAGTATTGATTTTTCCAAAAATGTTAGCTTTCACCCTGGGTTTTTTTTCAGATATCTCTTTTCTTAAAAGAACTACTCCTTTCCCAAGTCGATGCACATGACCATAAAATTATTTAAAAATGAAAAGAAAATGATTAACTCAAGTTTTTTCTATTATTTAAAATAAATAAACTCATAAATAATTGATCATATTAAAATAAAGTAATATTCAATACATCTATAGAAAAATATGTGGGAAGAAACTTAAATTTCCAGCTCATTAGAAGAATCCCCCAAATCTTGAATGATTTTAAGGTAATTTATCAACAGAAGTGAAATAAAATCCTTGTTAATTTCTGCAAGAGGCCTACCTCAAATTATTTCAATCATATGATTTGTCTTTGTTTTCCAGGTGTTTAAACTGCAGTTAGAAGAGGAAAAGGAAAAATCTCGTGTATTGGAGGAAGCTCTCCATGCTTTAGCCACCGAACATCATGAATTAGAACGCAGCATCACATCCAATCAATATCGATCATGCTTCTATGATACTGATGATGATGAATTCTATGATTGTGACAATGATAACCAAAGCATAGGTGAGTTAAATAAGGTACACCTATATTGCTTCTGTTTCCACTTCATTGATATTCATTTCACAAATTATCCAATGAATATTTTTTGCATTAACAGTGTGTCAATTGGCATTAAGAAAAATAAACTCTTCAAAATTTGCTGAAGTTCCTTAAACAAATATTTTCTACCTTTTGGAGGTCTTCAGCCTGATCTATTATTACAGTTGCCTGCTGTTTGATTCTTGTATAATGTTTTCTTTTTCAGCATAAGCTTGTTGTTTTGGCAGATATAACATCTTTTCTGTCATTTATACTTAAGTGAATTCATTCTTAATTCACTCTTACAGTTTATATTTATATTGCATTTTTATTTGTATAAATTAGTAGAGAAAAAATAAGTGTAGTGAATTTATGGAAATGAGAAGAGGTCAGGTCTTGTTTGTATGTGTGTGTGTACTCATGTCTTAATTTTATATGTGTGTGCATGTCTTATTTTGTGTGTGTGTCTGTGTGTGTGCATGTCTTATTTTTGTGTGTGTATGTGTATGTCTTATTTGTGTGTATGTGTGCAAGTGCATCCTTTATATTGTTCACTTACTGCCTGTTTGACTTTTTCTTTTTCTACAAATTGGGTTTTTCTTTCTCCTTTGACTTAACCGCTTACTGGGAAATTTAGAATTTTAGTATTGTTGGTCAGTCTATCCAACCACTATTATAAATCTTATATATTATATAGTATGTATAATATTATAAATCTAGATTTATAGATTACTGATTGTCAGATTTTTATTTTGTGTTTGTTTGTTTTGTTTTTTATTTTTTAATATTTTTGATGTTTTTGTTTGAAAATATATCATCTTTATCAAATTAATTTTGATAAAACCTATGACAAACACTTTTGAAATAGTGTTTTAGAACATGAAATTTCTTATTATAATTACCTGCTTCTAATTATAATTATTTACCTTGAACAGGAGTGTAAAGAATTTCAATCAATTTCTTAATAAAATTGACAACATATTCTTTTTAAAGATCTTTAAAATATGTATGATTTTAAAAAAGAAAGATAATTAGTTTTTCACACTTTGAAACAAATTCTATATGAATGTCATAGAATAATTATGGTAATTTGTTATCGCACTTGATATTTGTTATCTCCTCTTAATATGCAATCTCATTTCTCCTGAAATTATCTGGAAATCTAAGCCATCCATATGTGTACATAGATTAGATGTATCAAAGTTCACTCCCTTTCACACTTAGATTCTTCATGACAACCACTTCTTGTTTTCTTTTCTTTGATACTACCAAATATTTTGTAGTATTTATCAATACAATATTCAATTGGTAGATATGTTTGAAAGACCACAGGGATCATTGGTGTTTGTCTATTATTGTCTCACTTGCTTTTAACGGTCATTGTAAATTTTAGTTGTCTAATTTTGTTTTGGCTTTTTTAATTTTTTTGAGTTAAAGATGAAATAGAAAAATAAACAAAATGTATGGAGAAAAGATGAAACATTTTTCTTTATTTCATGTTAAGTGTGCAGTATAAAATCTTTTCACATTTTTCAATTTAGATCAGAATTCAGTTTATTACTTTTTTTCTCAAGCATTTTAAATCCCTTTTTCAACATCTTACAAAACTGAATTAATTAAAATTTAATTTACTTCTCAAAAATATCTTTATAAATTCACATAACATTTTATGTCCTCATAAAATCATCAGTTTTTGGCTCAGTATCTATGCTGATGATATGACTATTTACTCTTGAGCTAATGATATGTCTGATATGTTCAATAAGGTTAAATTGGCAGCTGGTCTAAAAAATGACCCTGTTATCTAGAGCAAGAAATGGCTTGTTAATTTTAATACATTGAAAATTAAACTACTCTCTTTTAATTATAGAAAACTTTTTTGGCTTTCCATCAGCATGGCTGATGCTAACTTTCAGGAAAGTGACTCATTGCACCTTTTTAGGCTAATGTTTTCCACTGACATGAAGTGGAAGGATTATATTGAATTAATTGCTAGGTCTGCTGCTAGAAAAGTTGGTTTACTGTATCATGCTAGACAATTTTTCTTACCAGAAGCTATCTTAGATATTTATGTGTACCATTTGTCCATGCATTGAATATTGTTATCACATCTGGTTTGGTCCATCTGCTATATGTTTAGAGATACTTTTGACAAAATCCAAAGAAGAATCTGCAATGTTATTGGTCTTGACCTGGCATCTCATGTTATGACATTTTCCTATTGCCATAATGTAACTTCCCTATGCCTTTTCTATAAATGTTTTCCTGGTAAATGTTCTGGTAAACTTTCCTCTTTGGTACTTTGACTTGATGAAACTACTAGTACTAGATTGGCAGCTAAACCTCATCATTTTACAGTTGAAATTGCTAGATGTAACTGTAAGTTCTAGACTGACATTTTCTTTTCTTGGACTTCTTGCTTGTGAAACTTTCTTCCAGCTTCTTGCTTTCCAATCAACTTTGATCTTCAAAAGTTTATATGCAATTTCAATTGTCATCTTCTGTCTACTTAATTCCCATTCTTTTATTGACCTCTCTCCTTAATAATGTTGTTTTTTTTTTCTCAAATTCTTTCCCACTCAGTAATCTCTTGTATTTATTGCCTTGCTTGGGGAAAATGATTGAAAAAAAAAAGAATAATAATTTTATGCTTTTAGGTGAAAATAAATTTTACAGTTGTAAATTTCAAATAATATTTATCTGTGGTAATTAACTTGAAATACAATGTATTAGATTTCATAGGATAAAATATTTTAATATACTATGAAAAGAATTGTAAATTCTACTTTCCAGTGAGACCAAATTTATGAATATAAAATGCTACTCTTCATCAAGTGGTGGAGGGAATCTATACAAAAAAACAGTACCAATCTCACAATAATGATTAAAAGTTAGCATAAATTGTATCACAATCCCAATTTCTTACTTTCACTGTTTAAGTATTGAACAGTAAAATAATCAGCAACCTAAGTCATTTTTATCTTATTTTAAAATATCTAAAAATATCTTGTCTTTCATCAAATAGAAAATTTAATTTTTCATATTTTTTTACTTGTGTGTTTTGTTAGGAAGAAATAAATCAAAATACAGATCAAACTGAATAATCACAGAAAATATTGTTATTCTGTTGTATTTGAATTTTATTTATTTGAAATGTAAGTGTCTAATATTTGAAATTGCTAGTCTCTAATGTTTGGATGATACTGAACAAACCTCCTACCATCTTGCAAAAAAAATATTGGAAATATAGTATTGTTATAAGATTCAATTTTGATTTGTAATGAATAAACAATTTGAATAATAGTATAAATTAATTTACTTGACTAAGCAGATAAGCAATCTTTTCTTACATAGTTCCTATATAAGCACATTTACTACTACTAGCAAAAATAATTGTTCAGTGCAGCAATACAGAAATAACATAATTTTGTTGAGTTTCTAAAAATATTTGGCCTTTATGTAACTTTTTCATCCAAGAAGTATCATATTCTTTGAGAACTGCATTACTATTTGAAAAATTGATGATTTGTATTCCTAACAAACTATTACCTGCTGATAGAACAATTGTTCTTTTGTTTGAGTTGGTTGAAATAAAATGTTTCTGATATTCTAGCCTTTTGTGTTACCTATAGAGAGTGTTGGGCTCCATCAGGCTATCTACCCCAAGAAACACCACTTCTGCTGTGGCTGCAGTACACATGGTGTTCCTATGACCCTATGGATCATGGGATAAAAAAAAATAGTTAAAAAACCATTTCTTTAACAAGTTCATTGTATCTGTTTCTGATAGATACAATTTATCAAAGGACATAGTAAACTTCATGCATTTCTGATTTACAGACACCATGATAAAACCTCATGGACAGTTTGTTAAAATTTTGCAAATATACCAGGTAATTCAATACTTTATTAACTTTTTTATCAAATGATAAAAATTTTGATTATATTTCAATTTAATTATTATTGATATTTTTTTCTACTTTGATGTTAGTTGTTCACATTTTATTAGTGGCAAGACAAGAAGCATTTTAAGTTGACAACATCTACTTAGACATTTATTTGTGAATTAATGCTTTTTAAATATTTGAAAGCTATTTCCCTATTGAGTTATTTACCTACTTGTAACAATTAAAAATTATATAGATTCCTTTACAGAGTTAAATTGCTGAAAAGACAATATTTTTCTGATATTACATTTCTTTCTTTAGTCTATTAAATTTTCACGTTTGTATTGGAAAATAAAAAGCAATTTTATGTTATAGTAGTTTGTATATTCACATTAGAAAGTCTGTCTTGTTTTTCTTTCCTCATTTATAGTTCCCTAGCAGCTTTCTTTTCAATTTTATATGAATTAAATTTTATATATAGTGTAATGGATATCTATGTGGAAAGTGGAATTGGCAATCCAACTTCAAATTCCAAGCTATTTTTGTTGCATTTACTTTCACACTATTACCCTTAGGAAAAGCATGAATACATATCTTCTCCTTTTCTCCCAAACCATGGGTTAAATATAGATTGGGCTCTCTAGCCTTGGATGGCAACCAGTTTAAGAGAAGGAAATACTTTGAATTTCAAACTATAAAGAAGGCAACAGGAAACTGATCCACTTTCTTTACCTGAAATATATAATTCCCAGATAATAAAGGAAAGGAATGGCATTTAAAAAATATAAAGGAACAGATAGGAAAAGAATAAAAGAACAAATGATTAAAAATAAATGTTATATATATTATTGTAGATTTTGTATGTACACCATTAGAATGTGGAAAAACATTCTTTGGAGAAATATCTACAAACCTTATAAGCTTGACAATGTAGCAGTTTCAACATTTCTTATTGCTATTATTTATAATCCAATAGAACACTTATTCAACATTCAGATATAAGAAGTAATAAAACCCATCCCTCAAGACAAAACTATTTATTGATCACTAGCCAATCAAATCAGCATCTACTATACTTGAAAACTTATGAAATTATCCCTAAAAAAATCAATTTTTTTCATACACTAATCTTCTATAGTTAACACATATTTTGAAGATGACTGACATAAGGGAAATTGCATACATTTATAACCTTTTGCATTTTTGCATAAAATTGATCAGAAAGAACAAAAATTAGCTTAGATAGTTAATTAAAATAGCCTTTATATTTTTAAAATATGAATAAAAATGTTATATCTCTAATTTTTGTTACAATTTTCAAATATTCTTCAAAATCCATTAACAGAAGGAAATACTGGAAAGGAGTAAATTTTTAACTTTTATTATCTTTCATTTTTATAAATGTGGGTTGAGAAACAAAAAGATTTTCAGTCAATTATTTTGAATCACTTTCTACTACAGTGATCTATCATTCAGAGAATGCATATATGTAGATCTACAATAACGATGAATACTAGAACTGCTTTATTTTGTGGGCAGTCTATTTGAGGAATCAGCTGCAAGAATTTAAGATTAGATAAAAACAGGAAATCGTCTGATAAGAACTTTTCTGATTCTATTTAGACTATACTATGAAATAAATATTGAGATTGATTTCTGTAGTACATAAATTATTTAATCCATGTGACTAATTTTAAATAAAAAAGATTATTTTATATTCCATGTATAAAATAGTTCATGCACTAATCCATTCAAAGCATTTTACTTGAGTATATTATCTTAACTAGATTTTTTATAAATATATTTATTGTGTTTGTGACTCTAGTTTTCAGTTTTCTTCTTTTTTAAAAATGTTTTCATTATTTTCAATTTTAATACTGTTGTTTAAAGGTGATTTTAATATTTTGAAGTGTCACCTTTGTAACTTATAAAGGAAGTAACATTAACACTCAATATTTATAGGTATTTGCAAAAGAAAAAAACAAAAAAAACATTTCATACCAATTTTTGGCAAACTTGAACTTTCATGCCTGCACAAAAACAGTGCCAAAAGGTTAGTTTTTCCATTGACACTGCTACTATTTTTACTATTTTAACTCTCTTCACTCCTTGGCAATGTTTATTGTTTTTAAAAAGCCATGAATTTTAATAAAACCTAAATATATGAAAGTGAATTTACACATTTTCTTTGTTCTTGAGAATCTACAATGAAATAATAAACACTATTAAATTGTTTATTTACACTATTTATTAGATTGTTTATTTTAAACATTGGATAATTGCCAATCAATTTGAACTTTATAAAATGGTAAATAATAACAATTAACATATTTTAATAATTTACTAAGTGTTTATAAATTAATTAATAAAAAATGTTTGCAACTTTATTTCTTTATAAATTGATAAATGATAAATATTGCATTGCATTATTTTAATACAATTGTACTAGTTTTTAGAATGTTATAAATATAAAATTATTGTAAATAAACAACCTAATAAATAAATAGTTTAATATTTTTGTTGTATAAATTTACTTTCATCATATGTTTAGGTTTTATTACAATTCTAATTGTCTCTTTTTAAAACAGCAAACACTGCCGAGGAATGAAGGTAATTAAAATAATAGCAGTGTCAATGGAAAAAAACATCCTTTTGACACTCTATTTTTTGTGGACATGAAGGTCCAAGTTTTTCTTATTTTTGTCATCATAACCTCTATTTGTTAGTTTATTAATTTTACAAAGCATCTGTGTGATTTTTTTCTTTTTGATAGCTTAACAATTTCATTTTGGAATAAAAATAAAGCAAATCATACTTAAGATAGAATCATGTTAGCAGAAATTATCTTATGACAAATATTGCAACTACACAACAAATCACATTAGTGCTTTCTCAGACAACTGCTCCAGTAATATTAACTGGAAACATTGTAGATAAAGAATTTTATCTGTAATTCTTTTCAAATGCAATTCATCTTAAGACATGTTGTATCGAAAATAATCAATATGCATAACCCAAAATGTGTCTAAACTCTCCAAGGTCACAAGACTTTAAACTTAGGTACATTTAATTATGTTTGTAATAACAGTTTTGGCTATTTATTTAAAAAAAGTATTAACAATATTTTCATCATGAGGGATCACCCTTACACAGCACTAAAATATCCGCAGTCATTTCTTTTTTTTTTTTAAGAATACCTTCAAATTGGTGACTGATTAAAAATAATACATAATCATTACTCAAATAATGCGAAATTAGATGAGAAGTGTCTGAATTTTTTTTTTTTTTTTAACTTGATGCTTACTTTTCCTTCATTAGTCTTTGTATATAATGTGATTATATTTGAATTTACTTACTGGTTTGTGAATATAATTTCTAAAAATTAACTCACTAATTTTAAAAGTTAGATATATCACAGTCCTTGCAGAGATGTGATCAGACTAAACTACATGAGACATTCACCAGAGTTTATTTTAATTTTGATGGTCTCTCTATGAATTTAATTTGTAAAAATGATAAGAAAATTACATTTAGAATTTTCTCAATTTATTTAGTAAAAGTAAAAACTCACATTTTGTGTCACAGACATTTTGGCACATTTTTAATGCATGAATCTTAATTATGTCTTTGAAAACAATGCCATGCTGTCAATGATAAATAAATTTTAAATATTGTCAACTGAAGATACTTGTTTATTTAAATTCAAAACAGTAAATAAAAAATTTCAAATATTTTGTTTCTTTCTTGTCACAGATAACAAGTATATTAAACATGAATTGTGATTGTATATCAATCATATTTTCAGGCTGATTATATTTATAATGTACATATTTTATATAAATATAGTTTTTATTTTTTAAAATTTGATCTACATCTCAATTTATTAAATCATTATTAAGCACAATTTCCACTTACAACAAAATAGTGAATTTATTAATTAACATGGGTTAATATCACTGACATGAAAACTGAAATTTTTTTATTTATCCAAATATGACAAAACATTAAAAGGTTTAGCTGAAAACTTTGACTGTTTATGCTTTTAGCAACATAATCTTTGATCATGTTAATTATTTTCTTTTTTGTAAATTATTTGCTATAAATTTATTTTGTAAATGATGAATGTGTGTTTTTGTTCATTCACTCAATTTTTAATGTTGAAATATATTTAATGTTTTTAGATAAAAAAAATGTCTTTGAATTGAATGATATAAAACAAAAACAGTTTTATTAATATCTCAAATGATATATTTTCTGTCTGGTTAGGTTAGTAGATTCGTAGTGATATTAAACAAAAACTAAGATCATTAGAAAATATTGTGTTTGTTGCTATTTTTAAAATTATTATTGCTATATTTTTAAATAAAACTATAAAAATTGTTATATCATAGACTAAAGATTTCTCTCTGTTTTGATCTAAAAAAAGAGTTAATAAAAATTAGCAACATTTTTTGGTTTACTATCCAATGGATTTCAAATAGATTATTTTTTAAATCACTTATGATAAGTGGTATGTTTTTAATGATATTAGTTTGACTTTTCACTTCATAAAGGTTTTATCTTTTTTGCTAATTTTTCTTTTGCTATATTTTTTAGCCTCTGCTGGAGATTATATGTCTGTGTTTGAGGGTTCAATAGCAGGTAGTTATGAGAACCTTCCCACTACACCGACTAAAGATGACAGTGACTTACAACCCAGATATCTCACTAGTAATGAAATTCTCAATCAGCTTTCTCTTCAAAGACTGGATCTTACTTCAGAATATGTATACAGGTGAGTGCAGGTTATTTATATAAAACAATTTCATTAAATTATTTATTAAAGAATTTTCAATAAAAAAAAATCATATCAGTTTTTAACTTCTGACATATGTTTTAAAATTTATTTCTATTGTTGATATAATTTTTGAAATGCAAGAAAACATTGTACATACTTGAATCTTTGTCATTATTTATTTTCTTTGATATTGAAAAAAATTTCATAATTTTTTTTAACAATTTGGCCTGTATTTTATTTCTCCAGATTTAAAGACATATTATAGAAAATGCAATGTTCCAATATGTAACAAGTTAGAAAATTTGATTCATTCCAATGTCAGATAAGTAATTGACCAAAAGAAGAAATGTTCAGTTTTATAATTTTCTGCATTTTCTTTTATCCTTTGGTTTGTTTTACATAAATCAACTTGGTAAATCCTAAAATCATATCAGAAATGAAAAAAAAATATCCTTGGTAAAAGTAATGTATTAAGGGTTTTACAAATAAGACTGATTGCAGAAAATAATTGCTTTGTTGAAAAACAGTTTTAAATATCACAAATCTGTCAGAAAGGATGTTCATCTGTGATTGTACTCCAGAATTTTATCTGTAGTATCTATATAAATTATTGCTAACTTTTCTTAAAGTTTACAATTATTTTCAAGTTTGTGAATATTGAATGTTCATTAGCAGACTGAAATTTTACATTAATTTTAATAGACATTATTAAAGACTAGTGAAATAAGGGAAACTTTCTTTTTTAGAAAATGCTTTATTTCTGTCATTGAAATATTCAAGTATCTTGACAATCACTTTGAATATTCTATTTTTCTGAATTTATTTTTTAAAATACTTATATTGTGTATTTTATAAAATTGTGTCCAAAGATTGCATAGGTTTTCTTTAAATGCTTTCACAAATTCATTTTATTTTTGCTATGTATGGCAATGAAAAAAAGCACATATGCATATATGCTGAACTGCATTTTCAGTGAAATCTACAGATTTTGAATAATTTAAAGATCATATGAAATAATTCTTAAATTTTGTGTGTAGATATTTTGAAATTTTATGTATATAAGTCTATAGTCTGTATTAATATGTATATAGTCTATATTATGTCTATAGCCTAATGATAAAAAAGCATTTACTTTATGAAACAAATATTTAAGTTCCAGCAAAATTTCTGCAGTGTAATGTTACTGACTCACAGGAAGTAGTATGCACTCAACTGCCCATGGGTAATAGCTGTAGCTATTTATAGTCTTTGTGACTTCCTATGTAAATGAGTCATCTCAATTTCCTTCCTAGTGCATGCACTTAATTCGGTGGCAAATATTAATCATATAGATTGAACATTATACAGTGAAAATTTCAGATCAAAATTTAGTATGTGTTAGGCTATGAATTTATTGATCTATTCTCATTGTTGAAGTAATTTCACTTTAATTATTTTAGTACAAGTTTTATGTCATCTTTTGTTGTAGTAAAATCAGCAATAAAATATTGGGCTAAAATGGGTCCAAAAATAACAAGAGTGAAAATGCTTCTAAAATAAATAATTCTACTATTAGTAGGTAGCAAAATAAAGATGATGGAGAAGGTGTGGCAGAAACAGAGTACAGGCTTATATTCTGTTTCATTATCAAAACTTCTGGTTAAATTAATGTACATGAAGAAAGATGGGCTCTTAAGATGTGGGTTGCAAGTTCAAATCTTGTCAGTAGCAGTTTCATTATTTCTGACTTTAACAGTCCAAGTGTGGTAAAACAGCAACACTCATAGGATTGAATAGATCTAGTAATCAAATAATAGTGAAGATACTTCATTTAAATATTTCAAATAAATATCACAGTATTATTATTATTATTATTATTATTACTGCAGTATATTAAAACTTATTTTGGCTTTCCATCAGCATGGCTGATGCTAACCTCTTTACCTTCTATTGGATGCCTATTTATATGACTTAAAGGTACCATGTTTAGAACTTTCAACCTGGTAGTGATTTTTGGTTGGTTACATGTAGTGAAGATATTTGATATTTGGCATGAGTTTTGAATAAATAGGTTTTAATGAATTTTACAAGCTAAATTTATCAGCAATTAAAAAATGATAGTGTCAAAAGGAATATCTGACAATAAAATGATGTTTTCTGAAATCAAAAGTACATTTTGTGTTCCAGAAAGAAAAATAGCCAATTAGCTTTACTTGTTAAAACTTTATTGAAGGCAAATTTAAAAAAATATAGAACAACACATTTATTGAATGCAAACTATTTTTCTAAAATAGAACAACTTACTTTCTACAATGTCTACTTCTTGAATACAAATAAAAGAGTGAATTTCACTTATTTCTGTCTTTCATTTTCCCTCCTAATATATATCTACAAATACTACAAGCTTGTTCAACTACTGCTGTCAGATCTGTTTTGATTATTTTCTTGAAGGGTGTTAGATTAACAAACATTTATTGTCTTACCTTTATTCTTTTCTAATTATTCATTATGAAATTACTAATAATTAATTTTAAACTCATTGAAAAACTATTCAACCAAAATATTCTTCCTTGATTTCTATGTATTTATTCCATTTTGGACACAAATCTTCAATCTTCCTTTAAAAACCACATAGGTCATTAAAGTATTTTTCAATTTAGTCCTGATTTTCTGTGAAGGAAGTTGTCTTGATGTTTGTGCAAATAATAATTTGTAGGAGTGAGGGAAGTTGGGTGAATAAGTAAACAATTCTATAAAGTTTCCATTTTCAACTAATTCAACTCAACATCATTTTTCAAAAATAGGTGCTCTCAGGCTGTAAAATGACATTCTTTCTATTCATTAAACTGGTCACAATTTGTTTGGTTTTTCAATGTGCTAGTTGAAACTGTATAATTTGATTAGAAACTTTGAAGAAAACTCTAATATATCAAAAGCTATCTGTTCCACTAAATTCTCACCTTAATATTTTCGGAGTTATACTAATGTTGGCTTCAATCCAGCTAGGAATGATTGCAAACTACTTACCCCTTCTGATTTTATAGGCAGAAGCACAAATGCATGATGGGATTTTTCTTAACCACTAAAATAGGTTGGTTCTCAGTTTCATCTGACTCAGTCCCAGTTTGTCTTGTCTTGAAGTCAGAATGCTACATTCACTTGTCCAAACTTGCTACTGTGTATCAACTCCAATTCTTAGTTTGTGAACTTTTTGCCATATTACTGTTGCTTTGCTTTATTACTGTTAATTTGCCTTGCATATATTTTTTGCATGCTTTATATTATTTTTTGTCCTGTTCTTTTCTTTTTCTTGTTATTGCAAACTTTGTCAATTCTGTTTGTTGGACAGTTACCTATTTGACCATGGCTTCTCATTTGACAATTTACTTCAAGTTTCTGCTGTTGTGCATATTTTCTCTGGTAATTGTACAAAATCCAATTTTCATGTTGTTTGCAGTGATATGATACAAAAATAGAAAGAATTTCAATCAGGATTAAACCCATACTATTGTATATGATTCATGTATATTGCCAAACCTTTTATTTTCATTTTTATTCCAATGAAATTTATTGAGTTATTTTTCTTGGCAATTTTAAATGATTTGAAATGGCTCCAATTGATACATTTGAAGTTTTTCTAAGTTTTTTCCCCCTTTTCATTTTCTACTGTAGTTTCATTGATTGATGGTTTGGCTGAATTTTCTTTTCTAAACTATTATATCTATTTTTTTTAATGACATGTCCTTTCAGAATGTAGACAATCATGACTCTCCACAGATTCATTTTCTTTTTACTGTCTGAATTGCGGTGCATTCTTGGGAAGAATAGTGGAGTGGTTTCCTGTTGTTTTCTCTATGGTTTGAAATTAAGCTTTTCTTTTCATAGACTAGTTGCTATCCAAGGCTAAAGAGCACAGTCTATGCTGTTGTTTAACCAGTAGCTTGGGAGAGAAGAAATAACTTCATGTTTTCCCAAGAGCATTAGTCCAAAAGTAAACTTAAAAATTTTTGGAACCCAAATCTTAGTGTTTTTCATGAACATCATTGTCTGTAAATGTTGATTTGCATCTTTATTATGACTCAGCTTAAACTTCTAAAATGGTGAAATTATGAGATGAAAGGTCTTCCATAAAAATTTAGTAAGAATTAATAGAATTAAATTTTTACATATTGATCAACAAATAATATAGAATATCAAAATAAAAGATATCAAGCATTTTGTTAAAGTGATTATTTAAACTGTTCATTACATATACAACATTTTGCAACTTAATGCTACATTAATTCATTTTTTCTGGTCTCATGAAAATTCTTCATTGTTGCAGTTTTTTTTTTTTTATGAAATCACTAGCATGGATACTGAGTATTGCCTGGGCAAGTTGGTGGTTTAAATACTTGAAGAAATATGATAAATAATTTAGCATTTTTGATTTAACACCTTTGAGTGTTTGAAGATGAAGTAGAACATGTGTTAAGTCATATAAATGGACAAATAAATTGAATGTTAAAAAGTTGAAGAAATGATTCATCTTTAGAAATAATACAAAGGAAAAATATTCATCAAATTAATTTATATATATATTCATTCACAAGTACACAATAATGTTTTACAAGGGAATGTTGAAAAGTTCTCATCCTCACCCATTTCTCCAAATCATAATACTGATTTGGGGAAATAGATTGGGCCAAGAACTTTTCAGTACTCCCTTCATAATTCATTGAATCTCAGAGACAGTGCAATGAAGAATTGTTTAGTTGTACTTATACAATAACATTCTAACTACTGTTCTATTCAGTGGAAGGACATTTTTTTCTGTGATGTTACCAATTACTTCTATTATTATTTTCATACATAAAAGTTGATAAATGCATTTTTTAGAACTAACAATATATGTCTGATTTAATAAAAGTACTTTTTTAAAACATTTAAAAAATTAAAAAAATAATAATAGTTGAATGAAAACAATTGACATGAATTTTTTGGCAACATTGATATTTTCTGTATATTGTGTACATTGTTAAC